GGGAAAGCGTGCGTAATTTGTTTAACGCATCTTCCCCTCTTTTATGTGCTTGGGATCGACGAGACCTGAGGTTTTTGCTGGATGCATGCACTCAATCGCTGGTTGTCATTTTGATGAATAGGAGGTTTAGCTACCACTCTTCCGAGTTCCGAGCAAAGCCGAGGCATGTGAAGCAATCCTCTGTGCCTCGATCTCAATAGATATGCCGTAAGTTCTCGTACTGATAAGAATAACAAAAGACATGCCGTTGCAAGATATTGACTTTGGTTAAAACGGGAGGATAAGAAGAAAAGGATGGCACGGATGGGTAGAGGAGGAAGAAGAAGAGGGAAGAGGAGGGGGGTTGTGTGGGGGGGCCAACCTGGGGGGTACGAGCAAGGGGGGACAAAACGGAAGCAAGGAGAAGTGGGGGCGGGGAGGAGTAATTACTTGTCGCGGATGCGAGATATGCGTCCAAATAAGAGGATGTGTCTACGTACCATCAGCATCATGGCAGCACGTCCCTCTGTTTTGGCCCTTCCCTGTCTCCATGCTTCGCCCACCCTCCTACTCCTCCCCCTCCTTCCCCGAAGAAACATGGGATTAAACGCGAACCACTCCTCTGGTTTCTGGCCTCCTCTCTATCCATTATTATATGACCAGAGTCATGTCTAATAACTGTGCTTCTTCTTATTCTTCTTCTCTCTCTATCTCTCTCTCTCTCTATCGCTCTCTCTCTCTCTCTCTCTCTCTCTCTCTCTCTCTCCTTTTTTTATTGCATTTATTATTATGTTTGCTTTAAGAAAATTTCTCGTTACTTTATTTTTGAAAAATAAGAAAAATAATATTCTGTTAACACAAACAAAAACAATACCATAGGTCATTTCATCCCTAAAATTCTTATGAGACTCTTAGTTTTGACCACTATTCCTGACCACTTTTACTGTTCCTCGAGGTAGCAATCTATCGTTCTTATCTTCTTCTTCTTCTTCTATCTTCTCTATGGATGAGTTTGATTTTTCTTCTTGTTAGATTCCATACAACATCCATATAGTAAGCAGAGGCCTTTCATGGGGTGAAGCATCATCAGGACTGTTCTTGGAGGTGGCAACATTATTGGAAGACGGCGGCGTGGCGGAAACAACTGTGTCTGGGACGCATGTCGACAACTGCCCTTCGCTTCTGCGGCAATCAATTGTACAAGACATGCACACAAAGTGACAGATCGTTTCATCGATATGGAATTATGTGTGCTGCCAACATATTCGCCATGCACAGTTTACATATTGCATTCCATCGGCATGCCGGCAGAACATTCTTTTTCTGGGAACCCACCATCAAACAAGAGATTAATCTTACCTATTGAATAAACACGAGACTAATCTTGCTTATTGTTTCTAAGACTATATATATATATAATTAATCCCATGTTAGTTAAATTGTATATAGATGGTGTAACTGTTGACTTACAAAAAAATTATACAAAATAAACAGTGAAGAGTAGGGACAGCCATTGTCGTGATCCGGAAGAATGCTCTTGCATTTAAGTTTCGTTGGCTTCTCCTGTTGCTCTCTTCAGGCCAGGAGAGCCGGTACTGTACGTGAACACCACCGTCGATAGGGATATCATTTTGCTACCTTCATGCATGAATCCCACCAAAAAAAATTGCACAAATGGCCTCATGAGAGCTCAAAGAGATAAGAACCTATTTCCTTCGCGAGGAGGCACAAACCGACACCAGATCTACGTAAATTTGCATCAAATTAATTGGTACGGTGAATGATCAATCAAGGTAAATGTAAGCAGTCAGCATGTAAACTTGACGACGTCAGGTCTGACGATGCTTGTTGGGATTATAATTGACACTGTCTACGCAATGCTGCACAGCTTTGTAGTACGAGGTGGAAGGAGTCACACACTATTATCCGAGTTTTGAACCACGTAATCTTAAGTCCCACAGACCTATTTATATATATATATATATATCTCGCACACGTAGCGAAATTAGTGAGTCAACTCGCAGCGATATTTCCTTCCCCAAAAACATGGAGATTTAAAAATCGGTAAACCATCGCATTGATCTCTGTTCTCCGATTAAAATCAGAATGTAAAGAAAATAATAATACGTCAAATCTTCGATTAATTCCTAAATCGAATTTATTATTGGCCAGCACAGGCCTCGCATAGCTTCTGCCCATTCCATCCTCTCTCTCTCTCTCTCTCTCTCTCATTTGGGCCCTAATTCGAGTGACATATTTGGCGACACGAATGGGAATTCCAATAGTTTATGGCGGCTGCAGCAGTTACAGCTCGACTGGTGATGCAATAGTGACGATTGGTACCGAGATCATGGGGATGTCATCCGTGAATATCTAATTTTGATCGAGTACATGACACGTCGACATATTTTTAACATACGAATATTAGAGTAAATAGATCATGGATTTAATGTCGTCGACATGGCCGGCCTATGATGTGATTTATGGATCGACTGGTGATGCGATAGTAACAATTGATCTCGAGATTTTTCCCAAGCTTAAGGGCTGGCTGACCATCGAGGATGCCATCCGTGAGTATGAAGTTTTGATAGAGTCCGTCGACATATTTTAGCATACGAATATTAGAGGAGATAGATAGATCAGCATGGGCCATCAGAGGCTGCGTCCGTTTGGATTTTGGCCTTACTTGATTGGAGAAAAAGGGAGGACCCCACCCCACCGAAAGCCATCCCTCGGTCTGGTAAGTTTTGTGGTGCGTCGTAGTTCTTCTACCTTCTTTCAACCTGGAAGGCCTTTGACTCGATCTGTCGGCACACCAATTAGTCGATGCTCGAAAGAAAACCAAAGGGTTTGGCTCGCGTAATGACTCGATATCATTCCCACTTGCAGAAACGTAGGGAGAAAGAGTGTTGGAAACGAGAGCTACAACGGCAGGAATAGTTTCGAGTGAGATGCATTTATTTTGTCTTTCTATCTTTAATTCAACAATTGGTTCCCCAAATATTTGGACCGCAGCACGACCATTAGATGTTGTGAGCTGGACAAAGGAACCACAGACGTGAGTTACCGTTCGTCTACGTCCAGCCAGCTTCGAACGGACCCGTGGCCACGAGGCAGCTTCAGCTCCCTTCCGTGCCCATCTTGCTCTTCTTCCTCATCTTCACCAAGAGAGTGTGTTCGCCAAGTTCAAAAGCCCCAAGGCAAGACCACCCCCCCCCGGCCCAGGGAATCTGCCTCTCATCGGAAGCATGCACCACCTAGTCCCGCAGCTGCACTTCCGCGCACTCCGCCACCTCGCTCGCAAGCACGGCCCCCTCATGCTCGTCAGGATCGGCCAGGTGGACCTTGCGGTCGCCTCCTCACGTGAAGCCGCCTAGATCTTACAGAAACAAGGTGCCACCTTCGCTTCCCGTCCCGAGCTCGCCGCAACACAGGTGATTCTCTATGGCGCCTCCGACATCGGCTGGTCCCCCTTCGGCCCTTACTGTAAGCAGCTGCGCCGGCTATTCTTCACGGAGATACTCAGCGCCAAGCGCACCCGTTCCTCTCCTCCGTCATCATGGAACTGACCCATGAGCTGATGAGAGACATCTCCAGGTCAGAAACAGCACCCGTCAACCTGAGCGACAAGCTGTTCCGTCTCTCCAACGCCATCGTGTGCCGAGCGGCGGCTTCACCGTCGGATGGACAGAGGTCCAAGGCGAGATACTCGAGGAGGGGATCCCAATGAGAGGTATAATTCTTTATTTTTTTCTTAATAATTTTGATTTATATTTTAAAAAATGTTTAATATTATAATTATAAATTATAAATTCTTAATCCCAATCCCATCCAGAGGATCCCGATAAGGGGTGTAATCTTTTATTCCTTTTTTAAACAATAGTTTTGATTCATGTTTTTAAAATCTTTAATATTATAATTAGTATAATTTTTATGATGCATGATAATATTTTAATTTCAAAATTTTATGATTAATAAATAATAATTTTTATGAAGCATGATAATATTTTAGAAAGCATGATAATAATTTTATGGAACACTACGTTTCATTACTTTCGAGCCCTTTTGATTTGAGAAAGAAATCCATCATAATTTTACATCTCCAATATTTTTTTTTTAATATAAGAACATTAATAAACTTATCTTCTTTTGAATGTGATTAGTCTTTTAAATCTATTGGCATAGCTCTCTCTCTCTCTCTCTCTCATATTCTCCGATGACAGAACCTCCGTTCTTGGAGGGCCTAAACTAAGAGTTTAACGTTTAACTCTGATAAAGAGATAGATATATTCCTTCTTCTACTGAGACTCTTCAGCCAATTTGATCCTCTATCGAGCAAGAGGAGGATGGAGGGCAAAGCCATCCGTCCGTCTTTGGGTCATCCAATCAAGTTTGCTATCATTGCAGCTGTTGTTTGTGGATCCGTCGATCGAGTCCCGACTTGTCGGCCCTCATATTTTTAGCCTATCCGCTGGTTTGGTCACACATCAGAAACCAACCAAACCCTTTTATCATGCATTGTTGCACGGCCACGCCAAAGTCCACATGCGACGCACTGGTGATAGCTGTTCTGTTCTCTCCAGATTAACCTTTTTATATATTTTGAATTGTAGCTTCGAGATGTGATATACAAGTCCAGAGGGTTTCGCCATTGCATTTGAGGTGGAAGCATATGAATCGTGGAGGTATGGGCGCCCTCTTTTTACCCTGCTTCTATGTTGCATCCCTCTCTGTGTCTCCTTAAGAGACCCACACAAATATGACAAACATAGCGACGTTGAAATGGAGATGCCGATATGGGTGCTGGCGCATAGATAGTCGTCGATATTGGAGATCCAACCCTATCTGCCTTATCCGTCTTTGATTGACTTACAGTTGATACGGATGGATGCAACCCACCCCGATTGGATCTGATTAATGCCGTCGCCAAAAGATTTGTGAGTTGGACACACCAACCAGTTTCCATGTGTCACCATGAGAGGTTTACAGAGCATCTTAAAATCTTCCGCACACAGCACCATGCGATTGCCCCAACCATTATAAGATGCCCAAAAATGGCTTTTGACGCAGGTGTCTTCACCTTCGCATCCACTTCATGGATCTGCTTCAACTCCCTTCCGTACCCATCTTCCTCTGCTCCCTCCTCTTCTTCCTCGTCTTGACGAAGAAATGTCTCGCCAAGTACAAAGGCCCAAACACCAGACTTCCCCCCGGCCCGTGGAATCTGCCTCTCATCGGAGGCATGCACCACCTGGTCGGGCAACTGCCCTTCCGCGCACTTCGCCACCTCGCTCGCAAGCACGGCCCCCTCATGCTCGTTAGGATCGGCCAGGTGGACGTTGCGGTCGCCTCCTCACGCGAAGCCGCCGAGGAGATCTTACAGAAACATGGTGACAACTTCGCTTCCCGTCCCGCGCTCGCCGCATCGCAGATCGTTCTCTATGGCGCCTCCGACATCGCCTGGTCCCCCTTCGGCCCTTACTGGAAACAGATGCGCCGGATCTGCTTCACGGAGCAGCTCGGCGGCAAGCGCACCCGATTCTTCTCCTCCATCAGGATGGAACTGACCCATGAACTGATGAGAGACATCTCCAAGTCGGAAACAGCTCCCGTCAACCTGAGCGACAAGCTGTTCCGTCTTGCCAACGCCATCATCTGCCGTGCGGCGTTCGGTAAACACCGTGAGCATCGAGAGTGTTTCGTCTCGATCGTCAAGGATACGTACCAAGTCCTCGGAGGTTTCTGCTTGGCCGACACGTTTCCGTCGCTCAAGTTCCTTGACGTCCTCACCGGTGTCATGTCACACATGCACAGGCTTCATCATCAGATTGATGAGGTCCTAGACGAGATTCTCAAGGAGCACCGGGATGATGCCGTCACGGGCAACGATGGTGGGCGAGTGGAGGACTTGGTCGACGTGCTGCTGAGGCTTAAGGACGATCCGCAGCTGGAAATTCCCTTGACGATGGACAATATAAAGGCTGCGATATTGGTGAGGCCGGATCAACTCCTGTCATACTAATGCTAATCAAGTATTCTTGTGTAACGATCTCGTCGTCCTTGGCGCGCACAGGACATGTTCGTGGCGGGCACCGAGACCTCATCGACCGTCGTTGAATGGGCCATGTCGGAGCTGATCAGGCACCCCTGGATCATGGAGAGAGCGCACAAGGAAGTGAGGGAAGCTCTGAAAGGAAAGAACAGGGTCGAAGAGAGTGACATGGATAAGCTAAACTACATGAAGCTAATTATCAAAGAGACGCTAAGGCTTCACCCATCAGTCTCGCTGTTACCAAGATTATGCAGGGAGACCTGCGAAGTGATGGGCTACAAGATAGAAGCCGGCACTCGCGTCTTCGTCAATGCATGGGCGATATGCAGGGATCCGCAGTACTGGGACGACGCCGAGAGCTTCAAGCCGGAGAGGTTCGAAGGGAGTTCCATAGATTTCAAGGGATTCGACTTCGAGTACTTGCCGTTCGGAGCTGGCAGAAGGATCTGCCCGGCGATCGACTTCGGGCTGACCGTGGTGGAGCTTGCCCTGGCTAATCTCCTCTTCCACTTCGACTGGAAGATGCCCAATGGAATGAAACCCGAGGAGCTCGACATGCGTGAGAAGATGGCACTCGTTGTACCAAGGCAAACCGAGCTAAAGTTGCTGGCTACTTCAAGAATTCCTGTCCCCGCTACTATCTGAAAGTTGGCAGGAATCAGATGATTAGTGCGTGAAAAGTACGTGTGCTGGTATTCGTATGTTTCTTTGGCTTTGCTGCTGATCCATTTAATGAAAACTTGGTGACGTATGTATAATATTTACGTGGTAATGGTTTAAGTTTGTGAGTTCTTAAGACCGTATGTATGCGTAACATCTTCATATAATTAAAGTTGTCACATACGAGCCCTTCGAATCCTATGGAACATTATCTGATGTTGTCTCCCGTGGAGGCCACGACAAATTGACGCGGCCTTCTTCTTCTTCTTCCATTTCTTTGGAAATCGAAGTAGTTAACCTTACTCTTGAATTATTTGATCAATCAAATTTCTAACCGCGTGTTTTTCTGGAAGAAGGAAAACGACTATATGATCGATTAGGCATCACGATGCAAAAAATGCTGAGGAGGCATTGGTAAACGCGAGACGACGATCTCCTCCTGTGGCTCGTTTAGATCCTAGTCATCGACGACGTCACTCTTCACAATGTCGAATGGGGGTGATTTGACTGATGGGTCTACCGCAATACGGAAAACTTGTGATTTCAAAAGACTTGGTGTGTAGGACCTACTGGGAAAGACACTCAAAGTCGGAACTTCTTAGCTATCACCACAAATAGCAATGCATTGGAACGTCCCGTCCCGTCACAAATCTTTTGGCGACGGCATCAATCAGATCCAATCGGGGTGGGTTGCATCCATCCGTATCAACTGTAAGTCAATCAAAGAGGGATCAGGCAGATAGGGTTGGATCTCCAATAGCGACGACTATCTATGCGCCAGCACCCATATCGGCATCTCCATTTCAACGTCGCTATGTTTGCCATATTTACGTCGGTCTCTTAAGGAGACACAGAGAGGGATGCAACATAGAAGCAGGGTAAAAAGAGGGCGCCCATACCTCCACGATTCATATGCTTCCACCTCTAATGCAATGCCGAAACCCTCTGGACTTGTATATCACATCTCGAAGCTACAATTCAAAATATATAAAAAGGTTAATCTGGAGAGAACAGAACAGCTATCACCAGTGCGTCGCATGTGGACTTTGGCGTGGCCGTGCAACAATGCATGATAAAAGGGTTTGGTTGGTTTCTGATGTGTGACCAAACCAGCGGATAGGCTAAAAATATGAGGGCCGACAAGTCGGGACTCGATCAACGGATCCACAAACAACAGCTGCAATGATAGCAAACTTGATTGGATGACCCAAAGACGGACGGATGGCTTTGACCTCCATCCTCGTCTTGCTCGATAGAGGATCAAATTGGCTGAAGAGTCTCAGTAGAAGAAGGAATATATCTATCTCTTTATCAGAGTTAAACGTTAAACTCTTAGTTTAGGCCCTCCAAGAACGGAGGTTCTGTCATCGGAGAATATGAGAGAGAGAGAGCTATGCCAATAGATTTAAAAGACTAATCACATTCAAAAGAAGATATGTTTATTAATGTTCTTATATTAAAAAAAATATATTGGAGATGTAAAATTATGATGGATTTCTTTCTCAAATCAAAAGGGCTCAAAAGAAATGAAACGTAGTGTTCCATAAAATTATTATCATGCTTTCTAAAATATTATCATTCTTCATAAAAATTATTATTTATTAATCATAAAATTTTGAAATTAAAATATTACATTGCATCATAAAAATTATACTAATTATAATATTAAAGATTTTAAAAACATGAATCAAAACAATTGTTTAAAAAAAGGAATAAAAGATTATACCCCTTATCGGGAACCTCTGGATGGGATTGGGATTAAGAATTTATAATTTATAATTATAATATTAAACATTTTTAAAATATAAATCAAAATTATTAAGAAAAAAATAAAGAATTATACCTCTCATTGGGATCCCCTCCTCGAGTATCTCGCGTTGGACCTCTGTCCATCCGACGGTGAAGCCGCCGCTCGGCAGACGATGGCGTTGGAGAGACGGAACAGCTTGTCGCTCAGGTTGACGGGTGCTGTTTCTGACCTGGAGATGTCTCTCATCAGCTCATGGGTCAGTTCCATCCTGACGGAGGAGAGGAACGGGTGCGCTTGGCGCCGAGCAGCTCCGTGAAGGGGGACCAGCCGATGTCGGAGGCGCCATAGAGAATCACCTGCGTTGCGGCGAGCTCGGGACGGGAAGCGAAGGTGGCACCTTGTTTCTGCAAAATCTCAAGAACTTTTAAACAATCCATCTCCTTTGACACTTTAAAGTCAGAGTATCCTTTATTATGAGATTAAAATTTCATTAGCTTTGAAAATAGAAGAGAGAACTCAAGTTTGTGTTCATGTGTGTGCATATTCGTTGTCCTAGCGATAGTATGAGTTGAATCACGAAAGATCATTGGAAACTATGTAGTGACAGAGGATATTCTTATTTTGAATTTATATGCCTGTCATTCATAATTTTTTTTTTTAATTTATAAACTTGTACTCGACAACATAAGCTAACTTTTGTTTTCTAATTTATTTTTAAATTTATTATCTGTTTTACTATCGATCTAATAGTTTATGACAAAAACCCATTTGTATTCTCATAAACGAAGAAGAAAAAAAGTTCTCATCTACCCGCTCGTTACGAAGAAGATTTTTTTTTTTTTATAGTAAAGTATGAGACAAACTTCACCCAGATCGATAATGAGAGAGTGTGCATTTAGTGACGAGGATGACGATGATCGAACATCTTGATAATGGCAAGCAAAGACGATAAAGATAGGGATAGTGGAGCGAAGGAAACGATCGAGGTATGCGGATCAATCGTCCTTACTTCGCCATCCCCATTGTCACATTGACAGAGGGGGTTAGGGCTTGTGAGTGAGGATGACTATGGTAACAATAAAGAGTGATGAGCGATAGTACAAGCAGAGATGGGATAGATGAGACGAAGATTAGGAGACCAATATCATCTTTTGGATAAAAAATTATTCTATGAAAATTTTTGAAAAAAAGATATATCAAATGGGCTCTCGTTTATTCAACAAATTTAATTCGCAGGATATGTTCAGTGCTGGTACACATTCATGGTATGTTACCCTGGAGGACGCCATGATGGAGCTCGAATGGAGTCCAAAAGCGATGAGAAAATTACAAGACCAAGTTAGACAAGGAGAAGGACAAGTAAGAGAGGTGGAGCTTAACGTTATGATCCATTTGAAAGCTATCATCAAGGAAGTGTTCCGCCTGCATATCCACCCCTGCCTTTATTACTTCCACGAGAATTGCTGGAGACAATATTCCTAAGAAAACACTGTTAAAAAATTAAAATATATTTTAAAAGATGATAAATTAATATTTTACATTTTAAATGATGGTGCATCAAACTCTTATGTTGTTAAGATGAGTACAAATGATGGTGCATCAATCTAATCTAGCATACTAGACTTGGTCATATAATTTTTTTTAAATTAAAGATTATGATGCAAAAAAGCTTAGTAAATGATATTCCTAACTTATTAGTTCTAGTAGTAATGATGTTTATGAAGGTTGTCAATATGGCAAAGCATATAGGCAGCCTTTTGATAGATTACTTTCAAGATGTAAATTCCCCTTAAAGTTTATTCATAACAATCTAATGAGCCCTACTCAAACATCATCTTATTTAGGTTCTCGTTATATGCTTCTCTTTATTGATGATTTTAGGAGGTTCACTTGGGTCTATTTTGTGAGAAAAAAATTAGAAGTTTTTTTAAAAATTTCAACCGTTTAAATTAACAGTTGAAACTGCTCTTGAAAGAAAAATTAAAAGATTATGCACCGATAATAACGGAGAGTTCACTTCTATAGATTCTATTCTTTTTGCAAAGAATATAACATCAAAAAGAAACTTACATACACAAATACACTACAACAAAATAGTATGACTGGACGAAAGATTTGACATCTTATGGAGACTTGTAAGTATTGGCTTCACGCAAAGAATTTACCTAAAGCCATATAGCCAGAAGGTATGACATATATAACTTATGTTATTAATTGAATTCCTCTTAGTTCAATCAATTTGAAGTCTCCATGTGAGCTTATGTTTGGTGATAGACCAAATGTTAGACATTTCAGAGTATTTGATTCTCCATGCTATATTCATATACCAGACTAAAAAAGAAGTAAGCTTGATGCTAAAACCAAGAAATACATTTTTATTGGTTATAATAAAATGAAGAAATGTTGAAAATGTATGGATCCACAAACACAGGTATGTGGTATCTCGAGATGTTATGTTTGATGAAGTTTCTTGTTATTATCCTTCACAAGTAATTTCTTTTAAAAATATTAATCATAATAATGAAAGTGATATATGTTTAAAATTTATGGTTGAGATTCTTTTGTCATCTAATGCGCCAATAGATTTTGGCTCATCTACTTCCTCATTGGTATCTACTTTGCTATTTTTTCATCACCAATAATGGGGTAAAGCGATGGGGGGAGTACCATCTTGAGCCTACTTATTTTCATGAAGTCGCGGTGCGGGAGGATGCCATAAATAAAGAAATGAATATTCTTCATAAATATGAAGCTTGATATCTTGTGTTAAAGCTGACAAATATAAATCTAATTACTTACAAATTGGTCTATTAGGTGGAACATAAGTCAAATGTGATTAAAACTAATGGGTTTGGAAGAAAAATTCAAGTTGATGACACGAGTGATTCTGCTTTTGCCCATGGATTGCCGAGAGATAGATTTAGGCTTTTGCTGATATGATTTCCCGTATAAATCTGATTAAAATCGAGTACTAGATTAAGTAAGAAATCGTGAAATGAAGTCCTACTATTTTGGATGATAATGAATAAAGCATGAGATTAAGTGCCAAACTATTTTGGACTCTTCAGAGGTATAGCAAAATAAATAGAGGCAAATGGTCTTATCAACGACGGAGGAACGAACTATAGGGGTTTTCTTTTTCTTTTTAAACAAACTATTTCTCTTTTGTTTATCCACAGACGATATCGAATCAATTAATTCTCCCGAACGATTCTTAGCTAAAAGTTTTGGAGTCGAGCGAGCAGTAAACTATTCACGTATACAGACAGATATCGTCAGCCTGGCAGAGCAAGAAGTTTCTGGAGAGACTACGAGTTTGACAGAGCATGGAAGAACACGACATAAAAATGGAAGGCAATGGCCAAACTTGGTCACCTGGACAA